ATCAAGACATGATCATATTTTATTTTGGTAAAATAAGTGGAGGTCTTTGCCTTTCATATGACACTTCTGATACCAAATGATCAACTAGAAGTCAAGTTATTATTTGTTGATCCTAAAACCTAGATAGGCGACAAGACTTTTGTCAGGTAGTGTACATTTGTAAAAATGAGTAAATTAACTTAATGGATTTGTGTTGGGATGAAATGAAGGAATTATGTGGAAGCCAGCATTTATTACAGCGTATGCCCAGACTATCAGAGTATGTGATTTAAAGTTAATAATCACAAAATATTTCAAACAAAAACAGGATTGAAGTTGTATTGTAAGACTGAAGACATAATATTTAATGCTGATTAAAAAGTTGAAATCTGCATGTTTTGCCCAATAAAACTTAAAGTACACGAAGCAAGTCTTAGCATTGTAATTTTAAAGTCATAATAAGTTGAGAAAAGCCAAATTTATGATAATTAAGTGTAATTTTTCAATCTAGTCTGAATGTTGAGAAACAATTACAGGGCTCGAAATTGCCACTGTTTTGGTCGCATATAATTTTTTCTATGCAACCTCAAAATATATTTGGGAGCATGTGTGCGAGTGCTTAAAATTGTTGTGTGCGACCAGTTTTTACAGCAAAATGTTCACCACATTTGGGAGACATTCGCGCAGAATGCATCTCTGCACTTGAAACCCGAAACTGAACTCAGGAATGTTTTAGAACAGTTGTCATGTCAACTTGCTGCGGTAAACAAAGCCAAGTCTGTAATGCTTGCCCCGCCTTCGCGCTCTTTTTATTGGCCCACCACTGCTCTAGCACTGAAATATCAGCTGTCAGTCACTCAGTCAATGCCTTCTGGCTTGGGATGACAGAGAGAGCTACTACTGCGAAAAACTGTAAAGCGCTGAAGATGTGAATGAAGATAACACTGACAGATTTTGTTTTAGAAACCATGACATCTAAAGTTATAAATAATGACACATCTTACTAGTGATCATGTGCTGAATGTTAACCCACCATCTACACTTTTCCAAGAGTGGATAAAAGACTTCCATTGGCTTCAAGTCAGCTATGAAAAGTCTGTAGGATGGAATTTTCAGGTAACTGTTTGCCACATCTAGCACCAGCTTCTGTTTAATCCTTTATATAATCGCCAGATGCTGTTCGCCATGCAAGTGGCAGCTATATGTCAAATTTAACACCACGTACACCATCGCAAACGTGCTTACACTGAGTAAACTAATATCGCTACTCATTAAAAGGCCGGTATTGCTATTAACATGACGTATGCATATAATAAGGTACAGTATATGTCAAAAGCATCAGTGCAATATCAGACAGCACCCGTGAGAACAGCACAGTTATATCCTTAACAGATTCAGTCATGTCAAGCAGTGCGTCCAGGGCAAGTGAGCGCTTCGTGTATCTTTTGCTCACTCAGTTATGTTATGAAAATCTATTTTCTTGTGAGAACGGGATTTCGTTGAGACATATTTTCCTCACGCTTGAATATATATATATATATATATATATATATATATATATTGCTTGTTAGTTTGAGTACTGTTAATTTCAAATGCAATAAATATGTTTGTAAAAAACTATTAGTAACGGTGCTCATAATTAGTGGATGCGACTACATTTTGGCTGATGCGCCAACATTTTTAAAGTTAGGAGCACCGGTGCTACTAAGCAAAAAGGTTCATTTCAAGCCCTGAATTACTCTCATTTGATGAACAGAAACTAGTTTGTTGTTTATATGTGGTGTTTTGGAGACTAAAGCTAAACATGTGGTCATTAATCATCCTTCATTCAGACCTATGGGCAGCTCTTGTGATGATTGTCCTGCATTTTTGTGCTTATTATGCATTTTCTGGTTGCCACAACTGCAGTTTGTGCTGTGTAGTGTCCTTTTAAACGCATGAATGTTGATCATAGGCTGAGAGCAGTATTTCAGCTGATATTTCATGAACGAGCACATCAAATGAGCTGTCTGTTTACTGGCATGACACAAACACAAACCGAGTTGATCAGAAAACATGTTCGATTTTTATAGACTCAAATTTATAATCTACAGCGTCACTTGATCCTCAGTAAAATGTGTCAGATCATGCAATCGATAGTTATGAGCTTTATCACACTGCTAATAATTTCCTGCATAATCTACAGTAACATACTGGCAGCAGTTCGCTGGTAACTGTAAGTCTATTACAGAAAAAATACCGTATTTACATTTACAGGACCATTTATCTTGCTGTATATGTATTTACAGTATTGCATGCATTTACATACATTTATTACATACATTTAAAACATTCAGCAATTTTCACAGTGCAATTTTAGAGTATAGTAACATACTACACATCTGTCCTACAGTAAAATACTGCTCATATCACAGGTAAATACTGTATCATTTACAAAAAAATGTTAACAGTGTAGTTGTAGTGCAGACCTCCAGTAACTTACTGTAAATAAATTACAGCAAAATACCGTATTTACATTTTCAGCTCCATTTATCTTACTGTACATGTATTTACAGTATTGAATATCTTTACTGTAAAATATACAGCGAATTTCACAATGCAACCCTAAAAAAACAGTAGCATAATGCATAACTTTTCTCACCGTAAAATACAGTTCATATTACAGTTACAATACTGTCATTTATTAAAATTATTAACAATGTATTTGTAGTGCAGCAATCCTCCAGTAACTTACTGTAAATCAATTACAGCAAAAATACTGTATTTACATTTACAGCACTTTACATTTTGCTGTTTGTGTTTTTACAGCATTGCATACATTTACTGTAAAACATACAACAATTTGCATGATACAACTGTATACAGTTACATGCATAACAGTAAAATACAGTTCATATTACAGTTAAACACTGTGTAGTTGAAAATAATGGTTAACAGTGCATGTCTGAAACCGTTTAGCATTGATGCGTCAGTGAATTTGACTGAAAAAAGGATATGAGCAGTTTTGAGGGATAAAGAGGCATATGACTTTCATTTAATCATGCAGTCTGACAACACAACTTTTCTCTTTGTCTAGTTTTTGGCTTATTGTAGTAAAAAATAAATCACAAGATTATTGTTTATCTTTTTTAGCATATACACTACCATATATATATATATATATATATATATATATATATATATATATATATATATATATATATATATATATA